CAGACAAGCCATTTTCTCCCAGGAGATTTACTGCCTTAGAGGGTCAGCCTAGAGGTTTCAACTCAGAGATAAATAGCAACATTTATATAAAAGTAAAAATTTAAAACACCTTTGCATTTCAGAAAAGACCTTATTTTTAACAAATTAGTATTGGGAATAGCCAGAAATTTCATTCGGACTGATGTCATCATTTTCCAAAAGAGGAAACTGAGGCCCAGTGCAGGCAAGGATGTATCTGAGATGCCTCCTGACTTCTCTGTCAGAAGTGAGGCGATGCTCCAGGTGGTTTCCCTAATCTCAGGGCCAGTGGCATCTCCATGATCATATTAATCTGTTCCAAGTAGTCTCTCTGAGCTTTAAGACGTGGTTGGAGGTAAAAGTAAATGTATTCTGTTGAGTGTCTGGTTACCAGGAGACCATAAGGCTTCAGGCTTTACAACACACCCACAGCACATCTATAAATTTGCTTTAGCTTTTCTTTCCATTGCCTTCCCTAAATTTGAACTGGAAAGTATATGGAAAAATTAATAGGCCATGAGATTGCCAGAAAAGCACAAACCATGTCTCTCGCCCGTGTCTGGAAAGCTGTATAACACCAAAGAAATCCTCAGGCTGGTCCTATTTTCTCAAGATCTGCTAGAGGTCTGGAAGCACACTGTATTAATTATCAAAGACGGAAAAGTGTACAGGCCTGAGCAGTGTGAGCAGCCCATCTGTGGTGGAGTGGCCAGGAGTTGACCTGGAATGGGGACTAAGGCGCTGGTGAAAAGAGTGTGGGGCATGGGTATGCTGCCAGATCCCCATTAAAAGCTCACAGACCAACAGAACTGGGTCATCCCTTCCCCGCCACCTCCTGGGGCACAAAGCAAAGGCTGTTTGGTTGGCCCTTTTAGTGTGCACAGAAATTCAAGTGAGCTTTGTTGTCAGCTGTTTATCTTGGAATTATTCAAGGTACACAGTGCCCCACACCAAGTATGCTCGGAATTCCACAACAACCTTCTGATCTACCCACCCAAGCCGGGCAGGGCTTCCAGCAATCACACTCAAAGACATGGGTGGCTATTGTCTGAGTCATATCACAGTGGGTTACTGAAGCTTTGGTGGCCCCAAAGATCTAGTGTTTTGTTCTAGTTAATGATCTGACATTTGCTTCTTTCTTCTTGTTTGCCAGACATATCCATTACATGTTATGAATTGGGGAGAGGGCTTCCACTTGACGTTACAACTTGTTTTTTATTATTTTATAATGGTTTTAATGGAAACTTCGCATATACTGTTTTTCATATATGTTGTGTTTCACGTATTCCTTCATTCACATTGTGTTTCATGTGATCCTTCCCATACACAATATTTTATAAAACCAATTATCATTGTTCTATGCCCACTACTATCCGGTCCTTTCAGGTTCCCACTGGATCGTTCTCAATTCCTTCACCTCTTTCTTCTGCTCATCAAAATTTTCAACCTCATGATTTCAGCCCCTCTTCCTCACCCTCAGCCTCCTATATTAAAACTTTTTAAGGAGAAGTGGATTTCTAACAGCCAGAATGAAGAATCAGTGTCTGCTGAAATGTTTAAGCTTTGTGGGTGGTGTTTGTTGCCAGGTTGAGTCTAACTCCTAACTACCCCATGTGACAGCAAAATTGCTCCATAGGGTTTCCTAGGCTCTAATCTTCAGGGAAGGGATGATTGGGTGTAATACACAAGAGTCATAGGGTGGATCTGAACTGTCAATCTTTTGGTTAGCTGAGTATTACTACCAAAGACTAAAACACTAATCTGAGACATTGCTGGTGTAGTGGAAGGATTCTCATCTTCCATGTGAGAGACTCAAGCTGGATTACTGGACAAAGAATTTCATGAACAGCCAACACCCAAGCTGTCAGTGGAGACTTTGCTGTTGCTATGATATTGAACAGGTTTCAGTGGAGCTTCTGGTCTAAGATGCTTAAGAGAAAAGGTCTGCTGATCAAATTCTGAAAATTTCTCAATGGCATCCTACTGCTCTCAAGTCAGCTCTGTCTCATGTCGGCCGTCCACCAAGTTTTTGAGGCTAAACTTTTTTACAAGAGAAAATTGCCCATTTCAGAATGGCTGTTGACTTTTTGGTTAGGAGCATGATAATTTACTCACTACTCACTGAGAACACCATAGATTGTAACTAACAGGGCTGGTGCAGGAAAGCATCTCCTGTGGTGTGTGCAGTCACCATGCGTTGAGGACATTTGACAGCAGCTAACAACAAACCAATAACAGCAATGTAAAACAGGAATTACAAAAGAAAGTTCAGGATGAGTAAACAAAATCAAGGTTCTGGGGATATTCACAAGTACACATCAAAGTCTGGTCAGTGGCACAAGTTGTCCTGTCACTGGATTAATTTGCCATTTAGTGCCTAGGTTTGGCCTTCTTTAGCAGAAACCACCTCAAGGTGCTTGGACCCTTCCTTCAGGGGCTCTCTCGCACCTGCACATTACCTTTGCCATGAGAACCATGTCTGTGCTGAGCAGACTGAGCCTTGGGAAAAGCAAATGTAAAAGCCTTAGAGCTCACTGTCAAGAGCCACAGTATTTGATATTAGGGGAGACAAAAGGTGAACAGAATGAAGAAACATGGGAAGGGAAGGAAATAAAATAATGGAGTGAGAAAAGGAAAGTGGGAGCGAGTATGAGACAAGAGATGAGCTCTGGGAGAAGCACTCTTTAAGTTTTTACTACTTTTGTCTTTCAGCCTTATCCTCACCTCACACATACATCCCTGTCCTATCCCATCCCATCCCATCCCATCCCATCCCATCCCATCCCATCCCATGCCATCCCATTCCATAAAGCTCTCTCTGCTCTGTCCTCAAAGCTCTAAACACTGTCTTAGAATACATCACAAAGCTCTTTATACAGCATTATAAATATTTGAAGGTTTCGCATTTTAACACTATTTGATGGGATTTTTCAAATGCCTTTAAGCGATAAGAATGAATTGGGATACACACACACAAACACAAACACACACTCACATATGGGTGTGTGTGTATGTATATATATATATATATCTAGCTACACACACATATCTTTCTCGGGGCAAAGTCCGTAATGAAGTTCCCTGCTACCCCAAAGACGACGCATATCCAGTAATGCAAATACAGTAATCTCCTATTGTTGTGATTTACAGCTTTGGAAGACAATGGAGGGATGCTATAACTCAGAACCAACAGGAGCTAAGTGAAAAGACTTCATAAATTACGTGACCACTTTTATTGTGATGATGTTAACAGGAGGTAAACTACTAATAGGACCTGGTATGAATTTGCAAAGCCATAAAAATGAGAGATAATGTTTCTTGGTGAGTATATTATCAATACGATATTTTCTTTTTTTTAAAATATGATATTTTCTAATGCATTATATTAATATAATAGGCAGCTCTGGTGGTCTAGTGGCAAAAAGCTGCCCTGCAATCTCCAAGACACGTGGTTTGAAGTCATCAGCTGCTCACGAAAGAAGCATAGGCAATCTCCTCCCATGCATTAGCTGTCTCTAAAAACCCACTGGAGGATGAGCTATGGGTCGGTTCTAACTCAACAATACACAAGACAACACATTTTCAATTTAAAGTACTTATACTGGAATTTTATCTTTTACAATATAGAAAAGAGCTTCTCAGAAAAAAATAACTACTAAACTGTGAAATATATAATTTTGTAACTGGGAATTTCCTCATGTCTCAAGATCCATTTTAATGTTGTTTATTATGTTTTCCTCCTACTAGTTAAAAATCATATGAGGTAGAATATTACCATCTGGCCTTTGTCTTCTTGGCTATAAGATCAACTAATTTCTCTAGATTTCTAAGGCAAGAAAAACTTTTCTTCTTATTTGACTCTGTTTCTCTAATTCATTGCCTCTTTTATTGACTCTGTCTTAGGGAAAGAACATCAGGGTTCATAAGCCTGATGTAGACAGAGGTCAAATTGCCTATGAGGCCTGACACCCCAAAAATTTGTCCTTTGAATCTTGCTGAGCATCTCGTTGGAGGATTGCTGTCAAACTTCAGGAGGGCCCCTCTTAAGAGGCCCTTCTTAAGAGGCCCTTCTTAAGAGGCAGAGCCTTATCTTACTGAATGAGGATTCAGAGAAAGCAAAGAAAGTTCTGTTGGATTGAGTGCAAACATTAAGAGTAATCTTGTGAATATTCTAAAGACTTAATCTATAAAGCACTGCTCATAAAAAAAGACAATAACAAAATCACCTTGATATTACACAACACAGAAATTAGAATAGTTAATAAAGTGGATGCTGGATATTCTAAAACAATAAGTAGAAAACCAAACCTACTGTCATTGAGTAGATTCTGACTCATGGTAACCCCATGCGTTACAGAGTAGAACTGCCCTGGAGGGTTTTTGGTTGTACTCTTCTCAGAAGCAGAATATCAGGTCTTTTTCTGCATTGATGTCAAATGGGTTCAAACTACAAATTGTTGCATCAGTAGCTCACAGCAAACCATTTTTACCAACCATCCTGAACAACTATAAAAAACTGTTTCAAAGTCTGTCTTGTTTAGACATGAGAAGATGGTAAGATAACTTGGCAGAAGGAAATGAACACAACTTTAGTGAAGACAGTTTTACTCTGCCTCATTTTCTTCTTTTCATAAATATTGAGCTTAACACCTGTCCCATGGGTTTGTCAGAGTCTTTCCAGCATCAGTCTGGAAAGCATCTAGTACAGATACTGACAAGCAGTGTGTGCTTGCAACTCTCAGTTCCTGTCCCTCTCGAGTAAGTCTTTTCTAGAAGACAAAGACTTGGCAAAAATTTTATCACTACACCAAAGCTAGAACAGATATTACCAATGATGGCTACAGGAAAAGAGACACAAAACCTGAACATTTCAAACACCCTGTAGGAAGATGTCTCTAACAGGGCAGCGTTCTACCAGGTCTGCTCAGAAAAAGTGACTCTTACATGCAGGGATAAAGAAATTCAAAAGCACAGACACTCACATCTAGAATCTCTTTGTTGGCTTTTGGAGACGTGGCTTCTCTTAACTCCTTGATAGCCACAGGAATTTTCACTTTCTCTCCTTCTGGGATCCAGAGTCCCTGTGAAGAAGAGAAGGGTAACATTAATGGCAATATTCAGGCCACAGATGCCTTGTGAGCCGGCTCCACCTGTTTAGTAGCACAAATGATCAATCAGGACAGAGGAAAAGAGATCAAAAAGGGCAGAGGAACCACAGCTTTGCACAGAGGAGCCAGTGGTCACAGGAATTCTGGCAATTCAGCAGCTGTGGCACTCTGAATCTCTGAAGTCATGGAGACAGAAATCCTAAGCTTGTTCTAACTGTAAAACTTGATCAGTCAGGCCATTGCCATGGAGTCAGAACTGAACCATAGGTGATGCTCCAGCAGGTTTCAGACTGAAGATCTCATGGGAGGGGATTGTCCACCTGTCTCCTATGGAGTTTTTGGTTGACTGGAACTGCCAGAGAGACACAGCCTTTGGGTTAGCCGCACAACTTCCTAAGGATTATAGGACCCTCTAGAGCTCCCTTAGTGACAAAAGAGTAGACAGTGGAGAAAAATATCACAATGATGCTTGTCTGGGCTCATCCACATGAACAGTGAAGCATGTGGTGGGCTGCTAGGGTGGCCTTACCTTGTACACAGTGCCAAATGCTCCAGAGCCCAGCACTTTGAGCTTCTTAAATTCTGTTTCCTTTAAAATCCTCAAGAGAGCTTGATTGGGAGCTTCTCCACTGGGTGTCAATGGTTCCACAAGCTATGGATGAGAATGAGAAGACATGTAATGTTGTCTCAGGACAGGCAGGGTAGCTGGGAGTTAGCTGGTTAATGGCTAGCTCAAGTAAATAGTGGTACCAAGGAACACACCAATTATAAACAGCTGAAAAAGGAACAGCCTTTTGTGTGGATAATGGCAATTTCCAAAAAAGTGATTATCATCTGTTACTTCAACCAAAGGAACACAACAAATACAGATTCCCAGTCTATCTTTTATGGATATGCATATCCACAGATACCAGTCTATTTAAACAGTCTTACCTCTATTTATCTTTGTTTGTAACCATTGTATAAAATCTACCTTAAAAACAAAAACAAACAAAAAAATCTACCCTAAAAACATTCGTATTTTATTGGAGAACCAAACAAAAATCCCACTCTAGCAAGTAAATTCTGACTCGTGGTGATCCCCTAAGGTCAAGCAGACCTGCTTAGTATGTTTCTCACGTGTAAATCCTTATAAAAATTGACAGCTACATTTTCCTCCTGCAGAGGGACTGGTGAGTTTGGACTGCTGACCTTTTGGTAGGCAGCTGAGCTCTTTAACCAATGCACTACTAGGGGTCCTTTTAATTGGATTATAATACAAATATGACCAATCACTTACTATTGGACATTACAAGATTGCTTTTGATTTTCCCTAATAGTTACGAAAGCATATTAACATAAGTTCATATAAAAAATACAAGAGTTCACCAAGGAAGACATTCAGATGGCCAACAAGCACATGAAGAAATGTTCAAGGAGATGGAAACAACCTAAATGCCCATCAACAAATGAATG